TGCCGAATCAAGCAACTTCCCACCCACCCGTCCTCCTGGTCAGCATGGTCAAGCAGCTCCCCGTCTGCTGCCCACGCTGTGTCCCCCCATCATCTCAACTGAGCATGAGAAATCCAGGGCAGGTATATGGTGGGACAGGAGGCTCTGGGAAGTCCTGTCCATCATCACACCACATCCTGCCGGGAAGAGGCGGAGCTGGGGCTTGGCCAGGTCAGTCTGCAAGGCCCTGCTCCCCTCCTCAGTGGCGCTGGGTTCTTGGGGTGGGAGAGTGGGAAGAGGTTCTCCTGCTGGGGGTGCCAGGCAGGAGCAGGGTCCCTCCCCATGAGTGTGGGGCCTGGAGGCCGAGTTCCAGCCAGGGCAGTGGCAGATGGAGGGCAGCTGACAGGACCAGGACTGTCTTCGATCTGGCGGGTGATTGCTGGAATGACACAGCCCCGGGGCAGATGACGCTCCTGTGACAGAGAGTGGCCATGTTCCCCATGGATGTCCTGTTCAGGAAAGAGATGAGTCCCTGCTCAAGAGCAGAGGGACTTCAGGGTCGCACAGCAAATTGGGCAGGGATCGGGCTGGGCCCCTGCTGTCCTGCCCTCTTACTGTCCCCCCAACCTGCCTCCTTCCCACCTGCTCTTCCCACTGCCAGCCGGGACTTGTGACCAGCCTGGGTCAGGACAGGGATACGACTGTTTAGTGACAGGGCCAGTTCCCACCCCCAGGCCTCTGGAGTGGCAGGAGCCGGCAGGGCAGGGCCCGCCCAGATGAGCCCTGGCCTCCCACTGGCCGTGCTCCAGTCTGAACCGCTGACCGAGGCCAGGTCCACCGCTCTGACCACGCCCTGGGGGGACACATGTGGTGGTGTCAGGAGGGAGCATGGTGGCCTCGGGAGAGATCATGCTCCACGGCCTTGCTAAATTGCCACCTATGTTGCAAATTCTTTTTCGTTGGTGAAACAAGCAGCACCCCCAAAATGTGGTTGGCTACCAAGACCACGTAGGTCCTTTCTCTCTGCCCGAACCAAGCTCGAGAGGGGCACCCTGGCCACAGCTCCCCTGGGCAGAGGCCACCGCGGACATGAGACACCAAGCTCCCTAGAGACCTCGGGACCCGCCCTCACTCGGGTCTGGCCTTTGTACTGTGCCAGGTGACACCAGGCTGCAGGGCTCGTCAGATGCCAAGGGACAGTGAGGGGGCTTTGCTGCGTGCCTACTATGTGCCAGGAACAGTCCTCAGGCTGTACCCCCTTATTTAAGACCCACCTCACTTACGACTAACCTCAAGCTCACAAGAAGTTGGGCACCTACTGGGTGAGTCCCATCATGTCCCCAAGGTCTGGGATGGGTGGCAGAGCTGGGATTGGAACTGGGATGGCTGTCTGGTTACAGAGACTGTACCCTACAGCCTGTGACCTGCGGCTGAGGAACTGGTGGCCTAGGGGACAGTGGGCTCCAGACAGCTGAGTTTGGGAGGCAGCTGACCATGGCCCTGCTGCTGCCCATCCCATGGCCTCCCCCCGCCCCACACCAGGTCCCCCAGGCTCACTCTCCAGCTCGTGTGCTTGGCCCTGGCCATGCTTGGTACCAGGCAGAGGCACCAAGCATCTCTGCTGGCCTGGCTGGCCCTCCCCTGCCCTCCCCTCTCCTGGACCACTGCCCACCAGGTAAACACCTGCTTTTCTTTCAAGGCAACTCAGGCCTCACCACCTCTGCAAAGAGAGCAAGACTGGGAAGCCTGTGCCCTTCGGGGCATGTCAGCCTGGGGCCATCTTCCTTTTGCCGTGTGACCTTGATCAGGTGACTCAACTTCTCTGAACCTCTGTTTTCCTCATTTACAAAGTAGGACAGGGACGCTGACCTCATGGTTTGTCATATAGATTAGGAACAGCACACAGAAAATAGACCCGACAGGGCTTCTGCTCAAAAAACAGTACTAACTTTTAGGACATTTCCTGCCCTTGTTTCCCAGTGGAATTGGAACCTACACCCACCCACCCACACACACACACACACACAGGACTGTGTGCCTGTGGTAAGACACCAAGTTACCATCTCTGCAGGGTGGGTTGCCTCTGTCAGCGCCCACCACCCCTCAAGCTGGCCTTACTCGTTGCTGAACTCCAGGGCCAAGTGGAACCTGGCACTTGGGAAGCCCTGGTCAAAGTTTCTCTGGGAAATGAAGGAAAGAATGAATCCATGCTCATCTCCTGTGATTGTCCCAGGCCCTGGCACAGTAACTGCTTTGGATATTCTGCTGTGACCGTAAGACCAAGCTCACCAAATCTTCTTTTTGACATTGATAAAGTGCAACATAACCACACACTTAAATCAGATCGGCATGGACGAAGCTCTGCACAGAATGTGTCCCTGCTGGGCCCCGTGCCACAATCCCCTGCCTTCGTTGCTCACTTGTTCAAATCCAGTGCACGTTTCTCCCAGCAGCATGAGACCCGTCAACTCACCACAAACAACAGCCACGAACCTGCTAGTGCTGGCTGCTTGAAGTCACTATGCTGAGTTTGTGGGCATGTTTGTTACCCAGCTGGAGCTGACTGGTGTAGTAGGGAAGGGTTCCCTGCTGAGGCAGGGCAGAGCTACATCAGAACAGCCTGGAGGAGTTCACCAGAGAAGGACCAAGAGAAGGCGGAGGGACCTAACAGTGGGCCCAGCAGCCATTTGGCAAGGAGTGGAGCAGCCTGTTATTTTCTATCACTTTATTGAACATCCACCCAGAAAATGGACGAGTTGGGAAATCACGCCACATCGAATCAACATGCACATACAACCTGAGCACACCCTCTTATGTTCCTGCCACCAAGGCCTGACGCTGTCCTGGCCTGGTCACCTGGGGTCATCAGCAGACCCTGACAGTCTGCACTTTGTGTCTGGCTTCTTTGACACTGCGTGATGGTCGTGAGGCCTGTCCGTGTCCTCTTGTTCTCCTCCATGACAGTGTTCCATGATGCGTCAGTCTCCCCTGGTGGCCCTGGGACCCTGGCCGTGAAGAACAGCGCTGCTATGAACACTCGTGAGCATGGCTTCAAGGGCCACGTGTGAACATGGTGGTCAGTCTAGACGAGCAATGGAGTTGCAAACAAGCTGGGTCTTCAGAGGAACTGAGAGGAACAGGTGGCCTGAGGGAAGGACGGGGAGACTGAGGACAGCAGGTCAACCTGGGAGACGCCGCGCAGGTTACAAGAGGCTGGTTTTAATAAAAGGAAGCCAGGGAGAGATGTGCCTGGCTGACATTGTAAGATCACTCTCTCTTTTTTTTGGTGGGGGGTACCAGGGATTGAACTCAGGGGCACTGACCACTGAGCCACCCCCCAGCCCTATTTGGTAGTTTGTTTAGAGTCAGGGTCGCACTGAGTTGCTTAGGGCCTCGCTGTTGCTGAGGCTGGCTTTGACCTCGCGGTCCTCCTGCCTCAGCCTCCTGAGCTGCTGGGATGACAGGCGTGCGCCACCACACCCAGCTTAAGATCGCTCTTGAGGTCAGAGACCGTTTCGGGGGACAGGAAAGCAGGCGGGCAGTGGCAGAGGGAGCCTCAGGAAGAGGTGGTGGTGGCCAGGACTGGAGATGGGCAGGAGAG